ATACCTATGCCAAAAAATATGCTAAGCCATAGCACACACCAAGCTAAATGGTATGAATCTTTCTGTTTTTTTTTTTTTTTTTTTCAATTCAGTTCCTAATTTGTGCCATGGAAGACATCAATAAACTGGAAACAAGGTAAGAGGATATAACAAGCCACACATTCTAGACAGGTTGCCATGTATCAAGAATTTCAAAGGACCACATTAACCTGAAGGCTATTAAAAAAATTTGAAACAAGCCCTATATAGAGAGAGAGAATTATGTCTAAATCAAACAAATAAATGTATCACATGCATGATTAAGGTTAAAAAACAATACATAAGCTTAAACATGAAAGAAGATTCTTATATTTCAAGGAGGAATGGCCAAACCTCTGCTCCAATACTTGGATCAACACCCTGCATTGCAGAATGAAGAATGAATACTCACAACAATATGAGAGAGAGAATGATAAAACAAAGTGGTCACAATTGAAAATTATATGGAATGAATAAGTTGACATATAAGTCTGATCAAATTTTTAATAACATACCTCAGTTCGGACTTACACCACCTTCAATAAGTCTCCCATTGGTGTAAATAAGCTCTTCCATTGTTTGGCAAGAAGCGCATGTTTTCTTCTCCTACAGGACAATGGTGATTTAAGAGTACCCTTGAAAAAAGAAAAAACAAAACAAATAAATATCTTCATAAAAGGGAATGAAAACTAACAATTATAATTGGAAAAACAATGCAGAACAAAAAATGGAAGCGTCAATGGGCAATGCACATATACACAATAGACTAGTGAAATTTTGAAGAACTTCATAATAGAAAGAAAATAAAAGATAAAAGCACAAGCTTCTTTCCATATACATTGAGATGTGCAAACAAGACAAAAGCAAACGGGAAAAGGCAACACTCTTAACTCATCAACACTAACACTTACACTTTAAATTTGTCATCCCTGCAATTATTTAGATATGACTCAGTTCATTTGTAAAATAAAAATGACAAGGTGCCACCATTTGTTTGGCTGAAGAGACACAAGATAAGACATGGAATAATAATATTTCAAGACAAAAATCAAACCGTTAGAAACACCAAACTGAATCTTGCATGTATCGGTCTCTTTTTTTGGGGTGGTTATTCGCCTCTACCTTGGCCTCCTGGACACAGGAACTCCAACTGTTAACCCTTAAATAACTTTTGCAGGACAAATAAATTGATTCCATTATCAATAACCCCCCCCCAACCCCCCCGAAAAAAAAAGTGGCTCTTAGGATCGACAAGCAACAAAAACACAAATCAAGAGTGTTAGTAGAGTTAATTGAAATGCAACCTTCTGTCAGTAGAGTGAAGGGTGTTTGGGATGGTGGATGGCGACGACCTGGTGCGACTATGGCGGCAGCTACGATGGTGGCTGAGATTGGAGAATGTGGTGGCTAGCGTTTTCAAAATTGAAAGAAAATTTGGGGAGAATTTTTTTGGGTCCCTATTTTAGGGAAATTGAAATTGATTTGATTTGTTTGAGGGAAAGTGGAGATCTCAAATTTTAGGGTATTTTGAAAAAAAAAAAATTTAAGTTTTAGGGCGAAGTGATGTGGCAGTTTGGTGAGGTGGCAGATGAGATGGTAGTGCCACATCATGATGTGAGAGAGTGATGTGAGAAACTGATGTAAACGTAGTATTATTGATATATATTAAATATATTGTTTATATTTGTTCAAGCTAAAAGTACATACACTCGATTGATTACATTTACTGCCAGAATAAAAATAGACAAGAAAATCATGCAATAAAAATCAATAATAGTACACTTTTTATTTTTAAAATCAAGGACCGATAGTACAAATTCAAATGTAGTTACATTTACAATGAAAATAATCAAAATTTAGATTTTAAATATCACGATATTAATGATTTAGTTATAACAAATCTGATTACATTACCTTAATACAAAATTACTATAATAATTTATAGTGTTTTGTTAGAATAGAAATACATATATCCGGTAAAAGTAATATACTTTCTAAAATTTAGATAATAGGTTAATGTATCTAACCAAAACATTAATTTATTAGATGGAGTAATTATATGGACAAATTTATGCAATTAGTACATGCTGAGTAAGTTTTTGGGATCATAGGATCAATTGTATTTGGGCCAAAATGGGTTAGCTCAAACTTAGATATGGTGGTGTATGTGAGATGAAGGATAGAGCCTCGCTACGCTATAAAAGTTTTTGGTACTTACAATTTTCTCATATAATCCTGAGGTGGTAGCTCGAGCTTAGTCAGATTGTATTTGACCAGATGAGACTCACTATGAGCTGACTAATCGCGAACTGTCACATCAAAGTTGTATGAAAAAATTGTAAGTGTAATGATGTTCATGAAAAAATAAACGATAATAGGGCAACTGGGTGTTTTAGTTGGCATGTTTTCTTTTACACTCAAATTAGTTTACAATCTTTCAAGTGTATATTCGTAATGAAAGAGATAATGTTGTTTAGTCTAAATGTTTTTATGTATTTTTTTTTGTTTTATTGATACTCGAGAAGTATCATGCGAGAGGTACACATGTTCATCGAGTTGTGGTCTTTCTTGTTCTTTTTTCCAATTAGGGTAGGATAATTATTTTGACTTCATGGGAATCACAAGCTGTCATTTCTATTCAAGTCATTTATAATTTAACATAATACTCGTAGACAGTAAAATCTACCTAGGAGTCCTTTGAATTTAATCGTGTGAGGAATGAGCAATTGATAATCTTGTAGACATGTAGAGACAAAAAAAAAAAAAAAAAGGTGAACGTGAAGCACTTGGGGACACCGGTGTGATGTCGGCTGTAGGCACTCCATTGCTCAAGTCAATACAGTTTTGCGGGAAAGAGTTTATGGGAGTGTGAAGCTAGGGCACAAGTTGTCAGCATAGAGTGACTAGAACTCGGCTCTACGATAATTATCGACGTAGAGTGGCCAAAACTCAACTCTACGAAGGGGAAAGACAATGGTTCTTAGGAGCAAGAACTTAGTAAGCCAGAGGGAGGGGTTGTGATTGAATCAATAATGAGAAGCTTGACCTCTGCTTTTATAGGGGGCTCAAAGGGGTTAAATCCTTGTAGAACTAGGTGTTTTCATAGTAGGAGTTTAAGTAAACAAGAACTTGTAGTACTAATTCATATAGGACTAGGAGTACTAGTCCATGTATGACTAAGAGTCTTGGATGAACTAGGATATGTATGAGACTTAAGAGTCCTACTGTGGGATGAGTGTAAACTGATGGGCTAAAGCTAGAGTTAACTTATCCTGTAGAAATGTCCAACTCGTAGTGTGGCCCAAAATGCAGGCTAGGCTGCAAACGAACCACCAAACACAAACGAACACCCTTGTTTGAAAATTGTTAGATAAGCATATTAGGTTGTTCAAAATCGTGTTCAAACTCGAATGAACACAAAACACCGTTCGAAATCATTCGATTAACAAAACGGGTTGTTCGGAAAATGTTCGAAATCATTCGAATAACTTGTGTTTTGGATTTTTGTTTTAAAATTTGGGTTGGGCCGGGTTAGTTGGTTAGTTATTGGGTTTATATATATATATATTATTAAATTATCAAAATAATAGATTATTGTGTATATATTATCATTACATAAATTTATTATTTATTAATTGAAATGCTATATACTTATATATTTAATTATTGATGACATTTGAAAAAAAAAAAAAACCATCCAAACATATTGTTTATATAAAAAAACAAAAGCATCATAATATTTTATTATTGATTACCATTAAAAAAAATTAATCCATCCAAACTGAACCAAACATAATATAAAAAAAAATGAAAAAAATATAAATATGATATTAATGCAACTCAAACTAAAGACCTTAAAGTCAAAAGAATTGCATTTTTAACACTAAGCCATAAAAAATCATTGACAAACTTAGCACCATATAAATATATATAATAATGTATACTATGTTCTCGAACATAAACGAACGAATAAGCGAATGGGGTGTTCGTGAACACAATCAAACGAATACCCCTTGTTCAAACTCGAATCGACCACCTTATCGAATGAACATCGAACTATTCGCGAACCGTTTGTTATCGAGTTGAAGCGAGCTATTATCAAATGAACATCGAGCTATTCGCGAACAACTCAGTTCGTTTGCAACCCTAATGTAGGTTAACCCAATGTGTAGGATGACCTTAATCGTAGAGTAATCCAACTTGTACAGCAACCCAACTCATGGAGTTGGTTGACTCATGGTATGGACTAGATCGTAGAATGGGCCAGCCCATAAAACGGTTCTTCTTACATAGGTCATCTTGCTGAATGATCTTCTCACAAGATGTGTTTTGATATGAGCTCAATCGCAGTTAGGCTGTGGCACTGAGTCTTAAGCTTTCGGACCAATTAGAGTTGGACTTTTGGCATGAGCCCAACCGGTGTTGGGTTGTGGCATGAAACCATATGCTATTGGGCCAACCAAAGCGGGGTCTTGGTGTAAAGCCTTTTGCTATTGGCCAACAAGAGTTGGGCTTTTGCACAGAGCCTTTTGCTATTGGGCCAATCAGGGGTATACAAATTTTTGCAGTAACAATACAAACTGGTTTTGAACACCTATCATTAGGGGAATTTTGGTGTCAACACCATTTGATATCAATACATATATACGAGTATGTGAACAAATGAAAACTAAGTTAAAAAATGGAGGCTTCAAACAAACATAACATTGTCATATAACATAGCCTTTTCGTCCACTTGTTATGAAGTATTGATATTATTAAAAGTAATGTTGGACTCTACACTAAATAGCAAATGAAAATGAGGTAAAATTTTATAGCATCAATGCATAGAATAGGATTATTGTTGATCTCCTAAGCCAACCACTATCTTAATTAACTTAAATTTGTCTTAATGATATGGGAAATCTTGAGTTAAAATTGGTTAGTAAAAAATTTACCCTATAGTTAAGGCTAACACACTGTCAGTTAGTGGGATAGGACAGAAACGGGCCTGAAAGGAGAGCGAATAAATTTGGATAAGCAAATTATAATGGATGCATAACTGTAATGTAAGGTAATGTAAATGTCAAGTTCATTCTAGAATCGTGCGTGGCATTGTGCACTTTCTCTCTTTGTTTGTGCGCGGTGGTGGCTTCAGAGATTAGGGCGCAGAAACCAGCACATCTGCAATGGGGTCTATGCTCGGTGACTGGCCCTCTTTTGACCCTCACAACTTCAGCCAACTTCGACCTTCTGATTCTTCCAACCCATCTGTACGTACTATATCTAACCCAATCTTCCTGTTTTTCTTATCAAATTCTCTTAATCATGAATTACAAGAGCTCTCATTTTTTTTTATTTTTTTTGTAATGATCTGCCAAGTAGCTTATTGATTTATTGATGGTTTATTACTACTTTTTATGTTAAAAACGATTGCATGATGTAACTCTGGAGTAGTTGTACATTCTTCCATCAGTTAACGTTGTAGATTCGTTTATGGGTGTTGCTCATATATGTTATTGGAGCTTAATTATGGGTTTTTTAGTTGTTTTTGACTGGCTCCTTAGCATTATACTTCTCCCTGCGTATGATTTTTTTTTTTCCTTTTTAATTTAAGCCAGTTTTTTATTCTGGTGTTTAAATTTTTGGTGCATTTCTGTTTGGGATGATGGGTTCTGGTAGGATCTGGTATAGTTACAGTAATGGTCCTGTGTGATTGTTCTGTATGCTGCACTGAGTAAATTTTCTGTTGCAAGAAATGCTGCAGTATATATTTGTCTTTGAGGTTAATTGCAGCGTCACAAGATGCCTATGTTATTTTAAGTTGTTTAAGTAAGATTGTGGTTTTAACTATTGTCTAGAAGGTGGACATCTTTTTCAAGAATTTGCTTGTGGATGGTAACAACATGAACTAGAAATCAGAATTTATTGTGAACATTTATTGTTGAAAGATTGAATTTCGACTACATTGAAGAAAGATACTGGGGAGATTGACAAATTAATTAACTTCTTTCTCCAAATTTTGACACTTAACAATAACATAAATGGTACTGGATTAATAGCTACATCATTTTGAAGTTTGATTGTTTATCTGTATGGTGCAAATTTTGGAGAGGATTAATGGTTCGGGAGCAATGAAAGGTTTAAATTTGAGTAAACTATGGAGATATTTACCAGGCCACCAGTGCTTTTTTCCTTAATCTTCTGCCTTCCAATTGTTCTCCCTTCATTCTCTGTCAAACTATTTTGTACTTTGTCTTCAGTTTTGGTCATTGTTTTGGAGTGACTACAATAACAAAATAGTAAATATAGTAGATTTTTGTGGAGAATTATAATGTTTGGCACATAATACGTGATTTTACTTGAGATTCCATACCTTACTCGTTCAGTAACTTATAATGTTGTCTTTAGCCAATACAAATGGATTGATAATTTACCATTAGCTCTCCACCTCCCTTCTGCTGGCGTAGGTAGATTACTGGATTGTGCACAACTTTTCCTTTTGAAATAATTTGAAAGCATGCCTTCCATATTCAAGTGTGATTTCACGAATGCACTTTTTTAATTCCAAGACTCATATATCATCTTTTTCCAACTGAGGTTATGGTAAAGTTGACTTAAAGATTTTCAATAAGAAAATCCCTAGATAATTGAGCCAAACATAAAAAAAGGCAGGATGAATGTTGGAATGCACATTGCAACGATAGTGTAATAAGGAGCCCAACAATGAATCCTAATGTGATTGCTTAGCTGTTATTGTGTTTATTTGTGGAGATGAACCTGGTCCATCTATTGGGACCTTTAATGAATCTGTTTTAAGTTGTGGAGATGTTCACTTGATATGTAATTGCTTGTAGCAACCAGAGCTTTCTAGTCAAGCTTGGTCAAGTTGTATGCTGTAGCCATTTACTTTCCAGTCCAGAATGCAGGTTGCAATGCTTTTCCAATGCAGTTCGTATTAGCACCCTCTAGATTTGAATGAAGAACTGCATAATTTACAGTAGACTAATTTTTAAATTTTTGGGTTTGGACCTCTTGTGATATTTTCTGGGCATAAATCATAACCTTGCTTTCTATTTAAGAGCATAGAATGGTTTACTGAATTCTGTCAATCATATTAATCATCTGTCAAGAAATGTGAACATCTTCTCTTATATATTATTATTTTTTCTTTGGTAGAAAATGTCACCTGCCACCTATCGTCCTACTCATAGCCGAGCTCTTCCACCACCTGATCAAGGTAATGATGGGATCTTTGTATCTCCTTAATGTTTCCAAGTTTGTTTTCCTGATGGGTAAAGATCAGTATTCTTGGTTTTTTTAATCATGCCTATGGTATAATATAGTAACTTTTGGTTTGATGCTACTAAGTCTGACATTATATGTGGTTTTCTATTTAAGTGATGTATGTTTCAATGTCTAAATATCGTATACCTAGGTGCCTAGGTTTGCTTTAATTGTTGTTCATCTTGGACATATATTTGTCGATCTTAGATGTGAGTGTTTTGTTGTCTGCTAAAGCCAGGTTAATGTTTCTTTTCTTTTCTTACCTCTTTGAAATTAGGAAGTCACGACGAATTTGGAATTGTAACACAGAGATGATGTTTGCTTGGCAAGCTAAAGAGATTCTTCTTATAATCTTGACTAATTAATGTTGTTGGGTTCAATGTATTTGTTTATTGCTGCCATTCTTGATGTTGTATGTGCTTTTGGAAGAACTTTTGCTATAAGAACCTGACCTTGCATTGCTATCTAATGATCTCAGTTAGAAACTGACATGTTAATACCCTCTTTTTGGCAGTTATTACAACTGAAGCAAAAAATATTCTTATAAGAAATATATATCAGCGTGCTGAAGAGAAGGTCTGTTTATTTCTTATTTTTTCTCATGTCATGTATTTACAAATTATATAGCAAAAAATTTTTTACAGGGACTTTCTTTGCTTCTTTTTGCCATTCTTGTCGCAGTTGAGACCAAAGAGAGCTGCCTCTGAACATTTAGTACCAGAGCACGGATACAAGCAACCTAGGGCTTCTACCTCACACTAAGCTTTACTGCTTTTAGTTGGAAATCCAACAGTTACTATCGTCCATGTAGATATATCATGTCAAATATGTATTCAGTTGTAAACTGTTGCTGAGTTGCCTGCCCAATAGTAGTCCTGTTAAATTAGACATGTACATTTTGCGCATATAAAGCAGATTTACCCAGGTTATCCCTATAAGAAGTTGCAGTATGATGTATGGTTTCATGTTTCTGTGCCTTTGTTTTGGTTTATGTGGTGCGACTGATGCCCGCAACAATGCTCCATATGTTTATTTCTTTACATGTTGCAAGTGTTCTGCTGCACCTGATTTTAGTGTATGGTGCAAGCATTGTTGTTTTTGGTGATGTTCTTTGATACAAGTTTGGTGTGGGTTTCGCCTTTGGGTGATTTAGTGCAGTTGAGAAATTATGTTGTAAAACGAATAAAAACCATTTTGCTGCATTAAAATGAGAATTGAAAGTGTCCAATTGGGAGGGAGCCATTCTGTTTGTTCAACGTTTCTAATAAAGAATAATAAAATACTTTAATGTATCCAATCGGGTTTCGCCTTGAACAGTTGGACTCTTTGTTCAATGGAATCATTATTGACTTATTATGATCGTGGAAAAGATGGAAAACATTGTGGCATCTGTAATTTTCGATGGTATTATTTTATTAGAATGGATTTCATGTATAACGCGTGGAGACCAAATTAAACGAAGCCCACTCCCTCGAGTATCCAGGAGAATCATTGCTAAATAGATTCCGCCCCACACAAGCAACAAGCACAAACACAAGTAGCGGCCTCAGCCTCACTCTTTCCTTTCCACCGCAAAATTTGGAAGCTAATGATGATGGCCACTCACTTGTGCACTTCCTCTCCTCTCCCCTCCAAAATTACTCACAAACCACTCGCTCCTTCTTTTCTAAAATCTGCTTCCTTAACCATCAACCATCTCCCGATTAATAACAAGACACCGTTGAAACGTTTCTCAGTTTCAGCTACAGCCACTACTTCTTCTATTGGAGTCAGTGAATCCTCCACTTCCGCACAGTCTTCCAAATCTAAATCATTGCCTTTTCGTGTGGGCCATGGCTTTGATCTTCATAGACTGGAGCCGGGCTACCCTCTGATTATCGGTGGCATTAATATTCCCCACGAGAGAGGTTGCGAGGCTCACTCTGACGGTGTGTATGTTGTGTTATTATTATTGTTATTTGGGGGATATTGTGTGATTTTGAGGTATTTAATTTGAATTTTATCTTAATTTTTCTAATTAATTTGATTGGATTGTTGGTTTTAGGTGATGTTTTGCTTCACTGTGTGGTCGATGCTATTTTGGGAGCACTGGGGCTTCCCGATATTGGTCAGATTTTTCCTGATTCTGATCCTAAGTGGAAGGGTGCAGCTTCCTCTGTTTTTATTAAAGAAGCTGTAAGTTTTTTTTTTTTCAAATTTTTTTAAATTAAAGATTTATGTTATAGCTTGAAATTCTGTTATGTTAAGGAGTATCTCATTAAAAGGTATCAAAGAGAAAGCCGTAGCTTGAAAACCTGTAATGGTTGAAGACTTAAGAATAAAGGATATTATCTGTAAGAAATAACATAACATAGTTTTTGAGGGTAAACATGGTGGCAGACTGTTTGATTTTTAGGGGTTCGATTTCAGTGCCATCTGTACTTAATAACGGGGAAATTTTAAATGTTTAAGTAATGTTTTTGAACCCCAATTTAGCGGCTGGTGTTGGAGCTCTTTTATGCAGGATTTGGTTTTATTTCGAATATACTAGGATATAACAAAGTATTGACAGTTTCGTATTTGTACAGCAATCAAAAGGAATCAGTTAATGAATCAGTATGGTATGTGATATTGTCTAGTGTATGTAGGGATGGATAGCACCACAGGTTTAGCCATGAAAACTGATTCCCATAGAAAAACATGTATATAATCCACCATTATGCCAGCTTAGAGACTCTGACATTTGCTGCTTAAGTTTGTTGACACTGGAAGTAAACAGCAGTCAAGGTTTTCACCAGTTTATGTTGAATTTTTTTTTTTTTTTTATTATTTTTAAATGAGGTTTTACTAGTGATTCTCATTCATATAAATATAATTCCTGACAAAGGCTTTCTAATATGGTTTATCTTGTTTATGCTATTTATGTATAAAATATCCATGTCTCTTTAGAAAGGAATCCTTGTGAAATCCAAGATGTAACTTGGTTTTTGAGTTGGCAAAAAGGTTTCTTTGAATCTTCTTATTACTTTCAGATGTTTTATAAACATTCAACTTTGTGGCCTTCTAAGTAAGTGAATCCCATTTCTATATAGATTGGAGGGCGTTTTGTTGAATTGATTTGAAATTTAGTTCTGATATAGCTGGATAGAAATTGTAAGAAATAAATTAGCAAAAGTGAAAGGAATAAGAAGCTGAGGATAAAATGGCCTGGTGGATCTAAATAGTAATATAAACAACATGGGTGTGGTGCTTTTGTTGTTCTAGTACAAGAGAAGACATTTGCCCCATATTCCACCAATCAGAAAAAGGTATCTACATTGAGGAAATTTAATTTCTTAGCTAAAAATTTAACTGGAACTTTGAAAAGATTCAAACATATATGCAGGCCTAAGTCATTATATTGCAAACCTTTACTTATCTTGTGAATTGTTTTTCTTTGATTCATCATGTATTGGAAACTTCATTTTCATGTACCATCTCCTTAACATTCTAATCAAATTAATGGTTCTTAGAGTTTCTCATTCAACAATAGTTATTATCAATTCTAAGCGGTTCAGTTGATTCATCGATTGAAGCTCATCCTCTAATTGTATGGTCCATTTCAGGTGAGACTTATGCATGAGGCAGGTTATGAGATTGGCAACTTGGATGCTACCTTGATCCTTCAAAGACCAAAACTGAGCCCTCACAAGGAGGCAATTCGGACCAACTTGTCTGAGCTGCTCGGAGCAGACCCCGCAGTTGTGAATCTAAAAGCTAAAACTCATGAAAAGGTCGACAGCCTCGGTGAAAATCGAAGCATTGCAGCTCACACAGTGATTCTTCTTATGAAGCAGTAAAAGGTGCTGTAGGAAAGAAACTTATCATTCTAATATAATGCTGTATACTGCTTACACATATTTAATTACTTTAGTCAGTACAAATTATACATTTGATCGGAATAGCTCAACTGTGAAGTTGTTGTGTCATACCAAAATAAATGAGGGCAAGTCTGAACAGAAACATATACTCACTTTCTATAAGTCAACATTCAAATTTCCAAATTTGAATTAAAATGGCTCTCCATAGTCATTTCAATGATAAAAACATTTTACTTTTCCAGCTTTCTATGTGCTGATGTTTTTTGTGTTGCTTCAGAATATTAATGCCTTCTCTCACGTTTTAAACATTTTTAACATCAATACAGTGGCTGCAGAAATTTTTGAACCGTTAGCTAATTTTCTTCCAACTGAAAAATTGACAATTTTAATTGCACGTTGTTATTGAATTAACACTTGGAAAATACACCACTTTCAAAACATTGTTTTTAACAAGACTAAGCATGGTTTTCATTCTACATGCTGCTAATTCTGTGGCTGGCTGATGTCAAAGTTTTACTAACTGTATCCGTTTGTGGGTACAATAATTTGTACAATACCCAACTAGGGTTTCTTAAATTTGGGTAATTTGCATAAGATTGATTTGATAAGTTCTGGTTGGTTCACTATTCTGATGTTTTTTAGAATAATATTTTAGAAAAAGTGAAGTTGAGCTGAGTTGGGTTATCTTTACGAAAAAGATAATTATTAACGTTTTGAGTTTTGAGTTAAATAAAGTAGAATTGGATTTTGAGAATATTGAAATAAACATATTTTTGGGTTTTTAGGATAAGATAGGATAAAAATAGTGAACCAAATGGGCCCTAAAAATTTGTTATTAAAAGGGAAATGGTTTTGCTTATAAAATAAATAAAGGTTAAACTTCTATTTTATCATCTAAGTTTACACATATTCAATTGGGATTTTTCAAATTCCAAATATCTCAGCTTTGATCATTCAATTATATGATAAGTTTAATTGGTTTAATAACCACAATAGTTGATATGGTCAATAGTTAAACTACATGGTCAATACTTTAGATTGTTTACATCTTAGAATAACATGGTGAAATATTGACCGATTTAAGAATCAGCCTAGTGAAGCACCATTTTCATTTCCTTTCACCTAAATATATGGACTTACTGCAGTTGATAAATCAATTGGTTGGAGCTCAAGTCATGGGTGGATTATATTGACCATCATACAAATTGAAGAATCAGTTTTGACTATTTGAAAATTATAGAACTTGGGCATTTAAGAGTCAAATCCAAATTTGAATTTCTTATAGTCAAAGGGATTGCTTAGGACTTAGGAGGAGAAAAACAGTTTGTTTGGAAACTACCCTTTGAAGACTGAGTGACACTGTACAAGTTTAGAACGAAGAAGTTTCAAAGAGCTTCTACGTGTAGGAATTTCCTCTCTATGACTTTTGACAAAGTTGAATGTTTTTAAAGGAAGATAAATGCTCCCAACACAGCCTGGTCTAAATGGACATCTTGAGTTTGAAGGCTTCAACATCTTGGTTTGACCATGAAAATCTCACTGGAATATGTAATAGAAGACACCAAGTTAAATTAGCCACCCACAAGGCTGCCTCACAAAGTTATCATTATTACCTAATTGAATCTTATGTGGGTTATTAGTTTTGTGCTTGTATTATAAAAAAAAAGTAATAAGATTTATGGTCAAAGTAAATGTATGCTTCTATCATGCATGATCATCCCAAATAAATTTCTCCATTAATTAGGTCCTTCTCTATTAATTGAATGGGACCAATGTGGTTGAAATTTCCAGATTGAGGACCACTACTGGAATGGGACCCTGTTGAATGTTTAAGCCTTGCTGGAAGACCTTTTGACAGGGATACAGTGACGGTAGAAGTGGCTTTCACATTTGATACTCGGGTAAGTATACACAGAAATAAAATAATGCCAGTAGAGTGTGGTACGAAAAGTTGCAGTCTGAAATCGTGAAACATAAAGCCAGAAATAAGGGGAGTTGTAAGATGCAATGGGGATAACGTCAGTCCCCCAGCAAGCAAGATACAAAGTTCCCTTATTTTATGGGTTTATGTTTTGATGAATTGAACTTGTGGAAGATTGATGGAAAAGTTGCGAAAAAGATCAAACAAGTGTCAACATAATCGGGACGTATGTGGTACCCAGTTTATATATATGATGAACTGGCGTTTACCTACTTTGATATAGCAGCACCTCAATTATTAGAACGTATCCATTTATGTGTTGATGCTCTGGTGGTTGTGCTGTATCTAGCATTACTCCTTACGTGTGCGTATAGTGTATATCTATCTGTATACTTTTCAAGTCATTAATTAATTAATTTACCGTGGCCCCCTCTAATACTATTTGTCATAGGTTGTTTATCGCGTGTAAAACAATAGTTCAGTTTTGTGTTAGCCAAAATCAACCAAAACTAATGCCTTGAATCAATAAAATCTAGCTAATGACTGAAATTATGCTAGTAAATTATGTTAATGATTGAAATCAAGCTTTGCTTGATTCAAGCCATTTGATATGGCAATGGCTATTGATCAAGCTTTGCTTGATATTGGCTAACAAGTTTGATTCTTGATCTTTTCACGTGCCTTGAAGTCTTTCATTTCACAGTAAAAATATCAATAACCATTCGGTACTTGTTGCTATTTCTCTCCTACTCCCACCGAACGCCATTAATTAAACATATTGTTGATAAATTGAACTAGCCCACCACCAAGTCACCGCCAATACCTCACGATCTTACTGGGAACTTTCTTTTTATTTAAATAAGTCTTCACTTTAAATGATAGCAAAAAAAAAAAAAAAAAAAAGTATAGGTAGCCATCTCAGAGTCAGACTGTACAAACTCAAGTACTCAACTATAAATATCAGAGAATTTGGAAACTCCAACACTGGCAACCTTTACATATTCGAGTTTTTTACACGTCAAAGACCGTGTAGCGCAAGCAATTACGATAGCCTAAAAGCCAGTTTCCTCACTCTCTCCTATCTATCTGCATATATATTTGCCATTCTACACTTCTCTCCCTACATTTTAAGGACTTTCTAAAACACGAAAATGGTGTCCATGTTGAGGAAACAAGAAGAATTGTTGTCCAAGATTGCAAGCGGCAACGGACATGGTGAAAACTCTCCATATTTTGATGGTTGGAAGGCATATGAAACTGATCCGTATCATCCCACCGAGAATCCCAATGGAGTCATCCAGATGGGTTTAGCTGAAAATCAGGTAACTAACACTTCTTTTGTGATCTCTTCAAGTTCATGAGTTCACCCTAAAACCACAACTCACAGCTACTAACTTCTCCCTTTTCTCGTACATGCAGCTTTGCTTTGATTTAGTTCAAGATTGGCTCTTAAGCAACCCAGAAGCCTCTATTTGCACTGCTGAAGGTGTAAATTATTTCAGGGATATTGCCATCTTTCAGGATTATCACGGCTTGCCAAAGTTCAGAAATGTACGCAGACACATAAACCTGTATTAGTAATTTGACATTTACGTTGATCAATTATTACATGAGTGCTAATAATTATTAATTCTACAGGCTGTTGCAAATTTTATGGCTAAAGTGAGAGGGAATAAAGTCAAATACGACCCTGACCGCATTGTTATGAGTGGAGGAGCAACCGGAGCACATGAGACGGTTGCCTTTTGTTTGGCCGATCCCGGTGAAGCATTTTTGGTGCCTACTCCTTACTATGCAGGGTAATACATCATTTTCCATTATAATTTTATACTTCTGTTGGGCTTATTATACGTTATAATTATTATTCCCAACAAAAGAAATCAAATAATAATGTAGCTAGGTTGCTGGTTTCATGATTAGAGATTTTCTTTGAGCTCAAATTCATAGTGATTTTTCGCTGTTTTTTCCACCATACACTGAACCAAGCCTTTGCTTTCTCCACTACCAACCGTCAGGAAGAAACAAGAGATCATCTATCAAATCAAAGATTTAAAGCAACAAAAATGATTCTATATTTAGTCAACCGCACTATTCCAAGCTCAAAAGTAGCTTATAGTGTGATTAGCCTAATTGGCTACAAATTTTAACGACACCCCTAGACAAAGTTGTATTATTATTATTAATGAGGGCGTGTTTTAACAGATAATTTATTCTTTAAAGTAATTAACTACATGGATTTTCTTGAATTTAGGAAAATTCCGAACCATGTGTATGCAATTATTTAATGTTGTCTGGAGGAAGCTGAGGTCCAAATTCCTTGAGGGCACTAAGAAATATCAGCCATTAGATCAGTCATTAGTCACCACTTTCTTGAATGAGGCCAATTTAGCGTCTGTTTAAATTAGATCAAACCTCCAAGAATATTTGCTGTCTCTTTCATGCATCTGTGTAACTTTTAACTCGAAATTAAGTAAGGGAATTAATCATATGAAAATTGCTAAAATGTTAAACGGCAAAATATTTGATTAATTACTCAAAGATTTTCCGTTCTCTTGCAGATTTGATCGAGATTTGAGATGGAGAACAGGAGTTCAACTTTTTCCAGTTGTGTGTGACAGTTCTAACAATTTCGAGATTACAAGAGAAGCCGTGGAAGCAGCATATGAAAAAGCTCAAGAAGATAACATCAGAATAAAGGGTTTGCTCCTCACCAATCCATCAAACCCTCTGGGAACTTATTTAGACAGAGAAACACTAAGAAGTCTAGTGAGCTTCATCAATGAAAAGAACATCCACTTAGTCTGTGACGAGATTTATGCCGCCACAGTCTTCATGGGCCAACCTGATTTCATCAGCATCTCTGAGATAATAGAGGAAGACATTCACTGCAATCGTAATCTCATCCACATTGTTTACAGTCTTTCAAAGGACATGGGATTCCCAGGCTTTAGGGTCGGAATTATTTACTCTTACAACGATAAAGTTGTGAGTTGCGCCCGCAAAATGTCTAGCTTTGGACTTGTGTCATCACAAACTCAACATCTCATTGCATCAATGTTATCAGATGATGAATTCGTTGACAGGTTTATTACCGAGAGTGCTAAAAGATTAGCAGAAAGGCACAGGGACTTCACTTGGGGACTATCTCAAATGGGCATCAGTTGTTTGAAAAGCAATGCGGGTCTATTTTTCTGGATGGATTTACGCCATCTCCTCAAGGAGCAAACTTATGATGGAGAGATGGAGCTGTGGAAAGTGATAATCAACGAAGTTAAACTAAATGTTTCTCCTGGTTCTTCTTTTCATTGTGCTAATCCAGGATGGTTCAGGGTTTGTTTTGCGAACATGGATGATGAGACCATGAACATTGCTTTATCAAGAATTAGAAGCTTCATGAGTAAGTATAAGGAGGCAAAGATGCCTGTGAAGAAACTGTGCTGGCAAAGAAGTCTCAGACTCAGCACTTCATTCAGGAGATTGGACGATACGCCATGCATGTCTCCTCAATCACCTCTTGTTCGAGCCAGGACTTAATTAATTAAGGTGCAATAATCTCTGCGCCGCGTGCATATTCAGTCACGTGTAAAGATTTATGATTGACGCATACAATTTTTTTGTTTTTCTGTAGTATTCCAATTTTTCTGCTCCTAAGAGATGGGTTTCATTCATTCTAAATAATCAGAGTTGTAACCTTTATGATGTAGTCTCTGCATCATATGGGATTTTTTTTCTGGTTCATGCATACTTCTTCTGTCCAATGTCGTTTTTTGAGTGTATTTTGTACTTTCTTCAGTTCACAAATTGTTTGTAAGTTGATATTGAGAAATAAATTAATTCAATATCTTGTTATTATAAGTGTTTTATATACATGTGAGTTTGCAATATCTCTGATCTTATAACATAATCTAATAAATTATATTGCAATTGAAATCAGAAAGTTGTCCGGATTTCTTCCCTTTCTCGTGCGAAGATTAAATAATTGTTGTTGACGGGTCCTTTCGCATACAGCTAAGCATCCAGCAGAGTTAGCTAATAACTGTACAACCTGCAATAATGAACAGATTCAGTAGGGCTTACAATACAGATAACTGGTAGGTAATTATGGTAAATGATAGCAGTAACCTCATTCTTTGGGTTGCATTATTGCATTTTCATTAAAGATATGAAAACGTCAGAAGACACAAGTATGTCTGCATGCATGGCTCTTTTGATTCTTTAAAGACTAAGATCTTCTGTGAAGTAATCGTTCGGGGTTATATTAATTTGACCTCATAATCAGCAGCACAACAATTATGTCTGTTCAAAGACGACACCACCCACCCGTTCGCCTCATCAACCTAATTCAAATTTTGTTTTTCTGGCTTTTATATTCAAGTGTTCCTTGTATTTCTAAGGGAAGGAAAACTACATATATTCCAATAAATAAAAATAACATTAAAGCTGTGGGCCGGACTTCTCTTTATGAACCCCACCGCCATTATCTACTATTAATTTCATGCTATAAGCCTATGGTATATACTTTTTGTCCATCGTCGCCGACAGATTTTAAAGAGAGAAAACAATTATCATCGTTTTCATAAGAGAAAAACTAATTGAAATATAATACGTAATAAACGGTTTGTTTAATTAGTTAACACTTTTCCCCACTCCAATAATAGTTTAATAACACTTTTCTACTCATTGACTTTTAAAATACCATTTTACTAACTAAATTTATATTCTAATAGCGAACAGATAGTAATCTCGGTCCAGGTTATTGGATCTTCTGAAGAGAGGAAGTCGATAAGTCTTTGAGTGGTAGAAGATTAGATTTTGCTGGTTGAGATTGATTAAAATATGACTTGAGAGAGATTATTGCGTAAACCTTAATCACTCGATTTTTGACAATTGACTCGGTCGATCGAAATAGGATTTGATAAGTTTTGATGAATGATGATCGAAGAAGAGAATAATAATAATATGAGATCGCAACAATGCTGGAATAAAAAAATTAAATATATATTTAAATAATAAAATAATATTTTAAAAATAAATGGGTAAAAGAATGTCATTAAATTATTATTTAGGTGAAAAAAAGTCTGTTTACTCTTTGTTTAATACTTAATTCCGTTTATCTGCAGAGCAACTACTACCAAGAAAGCATGGCTCTTGAGGTCATGATCACGTATGATTAAATTGATAGCCGGTGGATTAAGATATGTATAATTATTATTGTGGGTCGTCATGTTGTTTTCTCTCAATTTAATTTAATATAATAAACAGTCGTTATCTTTCACAAGACATTTCGAAGGTTAATGATGTAAGAAACTGGGATTACAGATGAGCTTACTTGAACAACCAAAGAATATTAGTTGGAAATCTGTGAACATATGAGACAAGCAATTCAGATTAGTCAGATTATAATGTGCTGTACTGCAACATGAACTGATCTTGGAATTTGTGACAATAAAAGCCTGGAAATCTCTTTTCAAGGCTCAGTAATAACCCTAGTTAGTATGTAAGGATACAAAAAAAGGTATGAAAATATCATATAGTAAACAGTAAAAAATATATTTTTAAAAATTAATCATAAAATCTGGATACGGAACAAATTCAGTATAAGTATATATGAGTTTAATATGATATATTATTAATAATACATTTTAAAATATACGATAATATTAATCCTAGTTTTAACATTTTTCATAGGTCATTTGGTTAAAATCTATATAGCATTTCAAATATACGGGTATGGTGAAAAAAAGGGTATAGAAATTTTATTGTTATGATATGACAAACGGTGAAAAATACGTTTGTGAAAATTTGGCAAAAATTTGGATACGGGAATAATTCGCTAATAATACAACTAAGGCATATAATTCACGAACAATACGGTTAGACTGATAAAATACGGTAGTTCATGAATAAGACGCGAATTTATTAACTAGGGTAATAACCAAAACCATCAATTAAAGTAGGCGTATCTTCAAATTAAGAGTAAACTATGTTATTATTATTATTATTATTATTTTTTTTTTAGTCGAGGTATAAGGTCAGTTTTTGCGTACTTCAACTAATCTTCGAGGTTCATTAAACATTCTACAAATCCTAAGGTACAAGTTCTCAGGATTAGATAAGCCATAATGTTATTATGGTAGATGGTCTCAAAGTTTGAAACTAAGAATTCAAGGAAATGAACAAACCTCATTAACTGCCAGGTTAACCCTTTGAGGTTAAGTGAACAACATGTTCCCACCCAAAGTTTCGCAAAATGACAAGATCTCGCTCCCTTGGTTTCATAAATTCTAGATTCTCATTCTTAAATTGACAGAAAATCATGTTTGCCCTCTTCGTTTCCTCACTTTCTTCGCGTCACTTGCCGCTCCTAGTCTCCTTCGTGTCGTTGCTATCGTTGGCTTTGACTGATCCATGGTGTGATGAATAGGCTTCCATCTTTCAGGAAGGGTTGTGATATTTAGCCATCATAATCAAAAGTAAAAGGTTCGAGGACAGTTTGGTAATAATACTCTTTATCCAAAAATTATAAATAATGTTAATTTAAGGGTGAAAATCTAATATTTATAAAACCAAGAGTGAAAACTTGCAATTTCGCCAAACCTTGGGTTAGTAGATGTCGTTTATTCTCAAATTAATTAAGGCTAAGGTCTTGGATATGTCTATTTTAATTTGTATAAACAATTAGGTAGATGACAAGTTTTTGCATCATTTTGTTTAACTTTTAGTTCTGATCTGATCATATACAATCAACTCTTATTTGCTTGTCCTGAGTTGACTACTTTTGTTTATTCAGCAAGGGACCCCATTTGCTAGGGACCTTTCACCTAGCAATTTGTGGTAAGAGTTTTGATCATTCAAGCTTTTGTCTTGATGATTTTGCTTTATACAAAAAATAATAGCCAAATTAAAACATCCAAACTGGGTTTTCACGAGCTAATAGACTTGTAATTAAAATTTCATTAAACCATTTTGAAGACTATTGTATGGCCTCTTTAAAAGCCCACATCAAGTCTTCTGATTCCTTGGAGAAAAACATCTCTCATTTATTGTACTTACAAACAAGTCACTTGAAGACAAACTACAATTGGCTTGTTTCCTTTTCAGAAGAACATCCTACGCACTATAGCTTCATCAATAAGGCCGGTGCCCAATTGTATTATTTTTCCCTCCCGTCGTCGTCAAAGGCACGGAACTGTATTTGGCCTTTTTCAGAAAGCAGAAGCTGCCATTAATTTTTATTAATTACATTATAAATGTAGAGACCCAAGAGGAGTTGAAATGTCCATTCTTTGTTTCAAAAAGCCACCCCATTTATTATATATATATATATATATAATAAATTTGTTTTATTAAGAATTTGTTCTTTGAGAGTGTGAAGGGGATGGATATGGATCAAGACTGAGAGATCGTTTACTGGGTAATTTTTATAATTGGTGTTGTATCCCTTTCCTCTTTGAATATATTATTTGTATAAGCCAGTTGCCGCTGCTTTTTCTGTATTACTTTGTTGGTTTTATAAATGGTTTAGTGGATTTGTTGATCATTTTAAAGATTTAATGTTAGTCAATTGAATTAAATAATCTTAGACTATGCATCATCGTTATCCTCATATCAAAACTAGGATTACATGTCATCGAAATTTAAATATTAATCATCATTGGATTATTGATGTTAAAAGAGTAAAAAGAGTAACTTTTGAGTTTAAGTCATCCTAAGTACTAATATGAATGATCACTAAGACTCTTATCTGATCGGCAATTCTAGGATCTTGAAGATTAGTTGAGTTAAATTCAATATACATGATTCCCCTGACTAGCAATTCCAGGACCCTGAAGATTAGTTGAGTTAAATTCAATAATTAATTGTTTCACTTGAAACTAGTAGATATTGTATATGGGGATTGAAGGAACAATTTAACTCAAATTAGCTCAAATAATGTATTGTTCTCGCAAGGATTAACTCTTATTATTGATACAAAGTACACACAGACTAACATGAAGTACAATGTAATTCTATTTCTTTTTTTTTTTTTTTTGGGGGGGGCAAAATGTCCTTTGAATTCCAAAATTCATTTATTCTCTCTATACACATATATCTTTAGGCCAAAGTTATTTACTTTGAATCTCTCAAGACAATCCAATAGCCATCAACCATACAAAGAAGAAACCTGTTCTTCAATGGACTTCGTCATGTTTCCACTGCATCACGAATGCAAATAGTCAAATTAATAAGACCTCTTCAATCGTCTCTTGATGGTTCATGTCAACATATAACACAAGCGTTTGGGTTCTCTTCAGCACTCATCACATGGTAATGTTTGGTGAGATGAGGATTTTGAGCTTTGTAGGCTTTCACCCACTCAGCTACTGGATCTTTTTTCTTTTCGTCTTCCTTTTTCTTCTCCTCTGCCTTCTTCTTCTCCTCTTCCTTTTTCTTCTCCTCTTCCTTTTTCTTTTCTTCTTCCTTCTTCTTGTCTTCAGGCTTCTTCTCCTCTTTTGGCCCCACTGTCAAAATCTCAACGAACCATTGCTTTTTTCTCAATTTGTTTACCACGTTAATGGGGTCAACGTCTCCAATCACTGTTAACTTACTGTCCTTCAACTCGATCGCAATCGATTCAATCCCTGCACAAGTTACAAATACCAAAAACAAATTTAAAGGGCACATCATGGACATAATAATAATAATAATGATAATAATAAAACTTTCAAATGAAAGAACTGAATTGATGATCGATGCTTTTACTTGGCTTAGTAATTTCAAACTGAGATACCTGGAAGGCCGGAAACTGCTTTCATGGCCCTCTGCTTTCCTTTCTCATCATGTAAGTCCAATTTCAACACAACTTTCTGCAGCCAAATAAAGGGAAGTTACAGACAATATATATAGTACATCCTATGAAAATTCTAAACTGATTACTTAAATTTCAATCTTCAAGAACAGAGAAACATATATTTATATTATGTAAACCATTTATGGCAAGAAGGAAATGATACACATGACAGTAAATTCAAACTAGTTTACAAAAATATTATAGAAGCTAAACCCACCAATGAAAAACTCTCATATCTTACTAACAACTCACTAAGAACCAAAACAAAACAAAATCCACTCAGCGTCATTTGTTACTTATATCATAATATGTCCAAGAGCAGAGAAAGAATTCTAATCAGAGAAAGACTCATGACTTCTGCAAACAAATAAACTTAGATTGGATAGATGGATTAGATTAAGAGAAAGGAAATTTCACCTTCATTGCGGTTGTTTTGTTTAAAGCTCTGATCGGGACTTGAGAGGCAAATTCCAGAGAAGAAAGATCAATAAACAAACACAAAGAGAGAGACAGAGAATGTATGTATATATATAATACAAATTAATAATTAATTTGAATAATAATCGTTGAAAGCTTCACCACAGGGCTGTTATACAGAAATAGCCAAAACAGGTCAAATAATATACACTGTTAACTTAAGAGGAACCACACACGAAGTAGCCTCGGCGAATAAGGAACACATTTCCATGGATCCATAATGCTGACGTGGAGAAAGCTCAGAACAAGTCATTTTCAATGACGTTGCTGTGTTTCGTTTTCTCTGAAATGGCTGTTTACATAGTGCTTACCTTTACGCTTTGTCTTCTTGTACCCTGAAGACAATTCAAGCCTCTCACTGAAAGGTACAAATTATATTTTAAAAAATGTGTATGAATTCTATGACACACAGGTGGAATGTTATTTACGAATTACGTGTAGCAGCCGTCGTTTGGCTACTTTGGAATCTATGAGTGCACAAGTCAATGTCTCCATTTCTTTTTGCTTAGTCAAAAGTTTACAGAAATTAATTTTAAATTAATTTCTTTTATATATATAGTTTTTCACTGTTTAAGACAAGACAGTAAAATAGAATAAAGTTTAAAAAATTAAACAAAAACATGTTTAATATTAACTATTCAATTTAAAATTCAATCATATTTAATTCAATTCGAAATATTTAACAATTACCTTTCACAATAAAAGTTTATACATTAATAAAAACACCCCCACTCAAGCCACAGTCGTCCACCAGCAATCACCATCGGCCGCCAATCATCGCTGTTACCACCATCGGCTTTTAAACGATGCACAATCGATTGGATTTAGCTGATCATACGCTGATCTGGTCGTTTCTAGCCAGATCTATCTACCCGTTGACGACGACCAGATTATGGCCATAGATCTAGTCATTTTCGGTAAGATACACAATCGATCTTGCCAAAAAAGGTTAGATTGGCACATGACTAGCCAGATCCAGCTGGTCGTCAGTGATGTGCGGTTGCCAGTTGGGTAGGTGAGGTATTTTTGTTAATTTTTAAACTTTTATTTTTTTTGGGGGGGGGGGGGGGGGGGGGGGGGGGGGGGGGGGGTTGGTTTGGGGGTTGTTTAGTTAAAAGTAACAAATGTAAGGGATTAAAAATAATCTACATGTTTTCAGAAAATGTTTTCAGAAAATGTTTTCCAAAAATGTACCAAACACATTCTCAGAATCCTATCATATCCTATTCAGAATAGAATATTATTGCAAATAATGTACCAAACATGCCCATATATATTGGTGACTCTGACTATCCCTATTAGTAATTTAGGTGGTTCGGATTCAAGACCTCTTAAGTAATACATCCAAGAGTTTTTGCCCAACCATTCAAACACCCAAAGGGGACATTTGGATCATATAATGTTTTATTATAGGTGTATATTACATTAACGGAAATAAAAATCACTTTGAAGATTACTGTGAATGTTAAGAAAATATATTTGGTTGGCTCGAATAAATTGGTGAATAATATGTTTGGTTTGGAGGATAAATAGGTGGGTATGTTATATAGATTACTAAATTGCCCTCATCTTAAAATATTAATATAATAGTATTTTTTATTATTATTTTTTTTAATCATTTTTTTAACCCCCTACACTTGAAATTTTGCTAAAACACCACAGCCATATAAAACTTTAATTTATAGCAAAATCATCCCCACCGGCACCACCCCAAGCCACTGCTGACAGCCAACCACCACCGCCGTCCACTGTCGGGAATCGACAGAATGACGCACGACTGTCGTATATGGCCGGTCATGCACCGACAAAGCCGAAATGGCCATGGATCCGAAAAATGACCAAATCTATGGACATTTCACGGCCACAGATCTAGCCATTTCATGGCCACAGAAACACCAAATATGGTCATTTCCTGAAAAGGTCTTACCAGCGCACGACCGGCGAGATCCTGTTGGTCGTGCACCATTATGGCGACTGACACCGGTGGCCGACAGTGGTGAGTTACTGCCAGCAGTGGTCTTGGATGGCTGGAGGTATTTTGTTAACTTTTAAACTTTTTTGTGATTGAGGTGTTTTAGCTAATTTCTCAAATGCAGGAGAGCTGGGTAATTGTTATGTGGAAGACATTTGAGGGCAATTGTGTCTGAAATAGTTTTTACTTAAAGCAAAATGGATAGAAAAATCAGATTATCTCGATAATGTTTTAATAACACCCTCTAACAAGGTAATAAGATTACCCTCCTACATTACCGACAGTAAATAATATTTGCAATAAAAGATTACCATAATATTTTATTACTTACAAACCAAACACAAAAATCTTATAAAATAAACGAATATTACATTCGTTATCTTATTTACCCTCGATCCAAACAACCTGGGCATATATATATATATATATACTAAAAAAAAAGAGAATTAGTGGGCATGCGAAGAACTAACCCTTAAAGTCAACAGCAGATTGATTTTAAAAGAAGATTTATTTAGTTGGTAAGCATTACTTTGATATAATTTAATATAACCTTAGACAAAAGGTCGTTACCTAATAAATTCAATAATATTTTCCTTGAAAAAGTCTTACAAGAGCTTTCTATTTCGGTGGCTCATCAGTCATGCATCATGTCATAGTTCTACGTAGACGCAGTCAAAATTTAATAACACAGAGTCACAAACAATAATAATTCTTTTTATTAATTATTATTATATTTTCTATTGACTGCATTCGTAAATAACACATCCTTCTCGATCTTTAGAATTTTCCTCCCATGTTAGTCAGAATTCTCTATATTCTAATTCTACTGCGATTTTCATCCTCCCTTCGGAAGTTTCCTTACAATTAAAGCACCTTCTTCTCCTATATTGGTGACCCTCCTTTCCTGAGATATAACGTAAGCAAATTTTCAAGGTAGGCTACCAAATGAAACGCAGTTAATTCCTGACGAGTCAGCTGAAGCTAATCAGAAATAGAATTTGTGCCTCTTTCTTACCCAATCTTCACGTATTATCAGATAACAACGTCAGCATAGGAAGTCAAGGTTTAGCACTGTACGTATTAGTTTAATTAGGGGCGGCGAAACATGAGAGGAAGAACTCAAAACACTTTGTGTGGAGTGGGTTTTTTCTTCTATAATTTATTCCGCGGTGACATTAACATCAAGGGTTAAGGAACTAAGAGACTAAAATTATAGCACTAATAATAATTGGAATGGGCCCTTCTTTTGTGTTTTTAAATTCAATTTGCAAGGATACAATGACTGAATAGACTCCCCAATTGGAATAAAAAACTTACAGTGCTAGCGTTAAATGAGGTCGATGTCACATGTTATTATATTGTACTATAGTGAAGCAATTCGAAGCAGATTTTGTTACGAAACCGATTGTGGTTTTGTGATAAGCCACGGCAGCATGATAATTACAGATCCTAAAATAATGCACTCCAAAATCAAGCATGAAAGCTACATTAGAGTTTTATATTTTTGTTTTTAATTATAGGAGGCAAAAAGAATCATTAGTTATTAGGTTAGCTTACCTTACGACTTTCTTTAACAATTTCTTAAAATATGTTACGTAAATTTGTTACCTCAATAATTTCTTAAATTATGCTACATAAACTATTTCTCTATCAAATCCTATTCGTTGCTTACCCTTTTTTTTAACCAAGGTGTCCGGATCAGCTTACTCTCAGGAGAGATTTTTTATAATCAAAATTGTTATGCCTGTAAAGTTAAGGTTGACGTAGACTCTCGTCAGCAAGAGCCAATCAGGATTTAGGAAGGTTTTGTACCGTCCAGACGCTGCCACATCGCACGGTGATGGAAGAGGTATGGTTATTGTCAGTGCAGCAGGTGAATGTCAGGCTCGCAAGTGGTCAGTGATTATCCCTCTGCCCAAGGCCTACGCAATTTAAGGATATTTCTCGTGCAGATAATCAATGGGACACAAAGAATGATTTGCATGACACCTACCCACTTGCAGACTTGTAATCATTACCTTGAACTCTCCCACTATAAATAGAGGACACCCCTCTCATTTACAGGATTGGCTAATCTTAGTCTAAAATAGCTTACACATTTTCTCTCTCTTTTTTCTCTCTAGATTATAACTCAGCCCGCCGCACGCGACCTGATTTTACCCATCTATTAATACAATAGCAGTGGACGTATGATTCGCTTTTGAGCATCCAAACCACTTTAAATATCGCTTCTCATTCATTGTTTCATTTCATGTTTCCTTATCACGTGTGATTTCTAAGTCCGCTTAGCACTTTGCATGTGTGAGTCATTGATGTCAAAATCAAGCATCAACAGTTTGTCGCTAGAAAGAGGGCCTGATTTAGTATCCGCTCTTCATCAGAAATCTCTGACTAATCTGTCCTACCAATCAGCAAATGACTCGAGGTTTCAAACCTAAGCGAACTGACTATGACAATGAGGAAATCCCCCAGATATAAGACGACACTTTTCCCGAAGTGCCGCCAGTCCAACAGAGTATCATGACAGATATTCCTTCAAGCTCACGGCTCGACCTGGCCGTTCATGAGTTACCTAGAGAGGTTCAATAATACTCTCCAAACGGTTAGCCAAAGGCTAGACCATTTGGATCAGGTCGTGCCACCAGAATCCAATAAGGCGGTGCCACCGCCAAAAACGCCTGCAGATCACGCAAAAGCACGAAAAAGGGCGAAAGCCGATACTGCGCGCACTATGGTACGTCAAAGAAGGGGAAAGCAAGTGGCAAATAGCGGACCAGAGGGCTCCGAGGGACCAACGAACATCAGTCGCGCAACCGGTAGAATACCCATGGTACTGCGACTTGGCAACATATCACAACATGAGTTGTCCCACGCCACGTTGCATGGGCATTCCACAAAAGTGCAAGGCGGGGAGATTCCTAGTATCGCCA